ACCTCTAAGCTCTTCCAAATCTGGATTATTTTCTTCAATTTGTGGTTCATCTTCTTCATTGTCTGCTTCACCCTCTTCAATTTCTGGTTCATCTTCTTCTGGTTCATCTTCTTCAATGCCCTTATCCCTTGAGTGTGACCCAGCTTGCACATCATTGTGCCTCTCCTCCACATCTATATCTTCCTCAGATGACAACCCATCTTCATATATTTCTTCCATAGTGGCCTGCCTTTCTTCCTCTGATGTGCAATCTTCAGCCTCAGGATGCAGTTCATAAGCCTTATCAGTATGCATTTGTACCTCAGTTTGTTCAACATTGGTCTGTAATTCTTCTTCTGGTGTCAAACCTGCTTGTTGTACTTCAACTTCTTCAATAAGCCCTTCATTATTTGGTCCAGGTAAAGGCAGAATGAGTTCACACTCATCCAAACCATGCTCTACATATATCTCACACTGCCCACAAGTACTAGCCATATGTATCAGCTGAAGTGTGGATGCATCATTGAACAAGGGAAGCAGGTCATCCATAGCATCACTAGGTTTTTTATAAAACAGTCCTTTAATATTACCATAGTTCCCAGACTGTAAGGCTTTCATTAAATGAGGATAACAAATCAGGTCCGGATCAATTGGGATACAGTCCACTTCTCCCCCTACGTACATAGTTTCAGGCAAACTAACGAAGTTGCCGCCATGGTGAATAATTAGGTCCACTTTGTCAAACATTCTGTAAATATTACAACACAATGCAAATCAAAAAGCAAAATAAGGCACCATTTCGGTCATTACTAAACATATACATGTACACAATCATTCATAACAACCATTATACTACTCAAAACCAGTGTCATAAATCAACAAATAAAAAAAGGAGGAAGCTTGACACATAGGGAAAAACTTGTGGCCATAATACCATACAATCGAAGTAATCTCCTCGTAAACTACAACCCTAGCAACTAACCTGATTTCGCGTTCGAATTCAAGAAACACGAAGACCTCTGGGTTACATTTGCGATTCAAGAACACCTCGCGGCGCTACTTCCCCGTTTGCAAAAAAGAAGAAAAGATAATGAAGACTGGTTTTCATTATCTGTTAAAACGTATGTTAGGTTATGGCTGATGACGAGGACAGAGGTTTTAAAATTTTTTTTTTAAAATTGATTTTTCTCGGTTAAGTATGCCACGTTAGAAGCCACGTCACCCGGTAACTGGCTAACCGGCTGGCGACTGCCTAAAAAACGTATTTGACCGTTATTTTGAAACTAGTTGTCCCACGCGCGTTGCGCGATAGGAAGATGCCCAATAATAATACTTTGTATGACTCAAAAGCGGTATCATGGATTCATGGTTTTTTGTAATACTTCTCCCATCCCTTTTTATTTAATAAAATTTGATAATTAAGGGGTATCATAAATTTATAAATAGCTAATTGTTTTTTTTTTTGGAAGAAATCTAATTGTTTTTTATAATTCTATTGTTCATGAATGTCACAACCTAAACTATCATACATACTGATAGTAAGAGATACCAAAAAAACACCAATCATTGCCTTGTTGATAATTTATGCATGTCTAAATGAGAAGCCCACCTATCCCCTATGATGTATAGATTTAAGTTCTCCATATGATAATTTTATGCATTAATTGTATCCCGCCCCTTTTCTCAAATTGTGCAAAATTTGATAAGTTTAACTTTCTTTGACTTGAAAAGTCAAACAACACTATCTTAGAATGTTTCTAGGTTTGAAATTTTGAGGTTTGAAACTTGGACTGAAATTTTTAGGTTTGCTCTTGTTTGGTCTGTTTAAGTCTGATTATGTCTGAACTGGTCAGGTATGGTGGCCCGGTCTGATAGATATATAGTGTGTGTGTGTGTATTTTATACTACCTTCATCCCGACAAGATTGTCTCATCTTTCTTTTCCAAGTCATCCCACTAAGATCGTCTAATATCTAATTTGGTAGAATTTGTATGGATTTACTGTATAAATTCAATGTCAACCACATAAATTCATTTTTCCTAATAATTGCATCAACTCCTCATATATATCTCAATGTTAGTGGAAGTGTGGAGCGGAGACAGTAACTGTCAAAGTCTATTTTGTTTAAGTTTGGTCTGGTGTGAGTAATAATAGTTTGGTACTATTGAAAAATTTATCAAAATGCACCTAAAAGGTTCACGTATTCAATCTACTTTTTTCATTTTTTATTATATAATATGAAATGGTAGTGGTTCTTCACTTGGACCAATCCTAAAACAACCCCATGATTGTATGGAATTGAAATGTTCAAAGTGTCCCCAAAACCCCAATTCATCATACGATAGAATATTATTATGATCCGCGTTTCATTCTCTCTTTCTCTTATAAATTTGTCATCTTTCCTGATTAGTCACGTTTTTAGAAATAAAAAAAGATCCGCGTTGTCTATTATCTACTCCACATGCCCCCCTATTTTTGTCCCATTTTACCTTTTTCGTCCGTCCTACTAACTTTGTCTCATATCATATTTGGTAAAATCTGGATAACTACCATTCATTTTTTTTTACACTTTATCAAATTTAATAATATCCACACATTTTCAGTTTTCTTTATAATCGCACCACTCCCTTTGGTCCCAGTGTTATGGGACTGAGGTAGTATGTTTTAGTAATATTAATATTGTATATGAGTGGCTTTCTTGTCGGGAGAGGCTAACAAGAATCATCGTGAGGCTGCCTCCATTTTGTTTTTGAGTTAAATAAATTATTGAAAATCACTGCATCAAAATCTATACAAAAAGCACAATTTTTTTCAAGAAATTTTTTAACCGAATAAAATTTAAGGATATAATATACACTTTATACAGAACATGCTCAGAAAATTACATAAGGAAAATTCACTTGGAGCCACCTCAAATGAAGGTGGCCGCATAGTGGTTCTTATTAGGACGGCCCAACAGAAAGATTATCTATTAATATTAAAACATCATAAATATAACTATATTTGTACACCTTTTCTACTAAGTATTTGGAGCAATTTTTTATGATTAAAATCCAAAATTAATCACAAAATGTAGGAATAAACTGAAAACATACTACGTATTATTTTAAAAGGGGAGTGGGAGCAATTGAGAAATAACAACTTTAAAATTAAACGTATATTGTTTGCCAAAAAAATAGACGTATATCTATATGATAATTTTTATATCAAATTTTATGTGATGGATGATAAATAATAGGGAAAGTTCCCGAAATATGACTAAAACAGTTTGAAAATTCCAAAATAGGACTGTCATAATTTTTATTCTCAAAATAGGAGTAATTACTGTCAAGTTTGGAAAAAATTGTCATGTTTGAAGTCTGGTACTGTCAAAACATGGCAGTAATTAGTCCTAATTTTGGGAATAAAAACATGACAGTACTATTTTGGAATTTTCAAACCGTTTTAGTCCTATTTTGGGTAAATTCTCTAAATAATACAGAGTATGGAGTAGAAGAGTTATTTTTTAATAAATTAAAGACCACTCTTCCAATTTCATTAATGTTCATAGACAAAAACCTTACGATGAATAACGGAGATCAAACGGAAAGACTAATAACCAAATGTTTTGATTTTTACGGACAACATACATAGCATAGAGTACAATTGAGTATTGCTTTATGGTACACCAACACATTTTACATTCCTAAATAACCCTAACCCTCATTCACCTTTATAAGTTTGTAGAGATATGTGAACCCAATTGACCGAAAAAATTGTACATGGACTCAATTGACTTTTCGCCCATAGTAGGTGGACTTAATTGACTGTTTTCCCTATTATAAGATGACTGCTTAAAAAGAAGCAACATGAATGGCTGATCATCAAAAAAGCAAAATAAAGTTCTTTATAATTTTTTATGTCATCAGTCTTTACCACTTCTACAAATTCAAAACATATGAACTATTATTATTAAACATACGGGAGATTTGAAGCAAATAACAATCACACCAAAAAAATAATAAAAGTCTAAAAACACAAGTAAAGTTGAATGAAGAACATAGCAATAAACCGCATTTGACTAGTCCAAAATTAAAGAATTTTTTTTCTTTCAAATCCTAACCAAACAAAATCCTCTAGTGGGATATGCTAGAGGTACACCAAAATGTCTACGCCTAACAATAAAAAGTGGCTTGTACATCACGTCCTCACAAATCCCAACCCAGAAGGCTAGCTCTGTCGCCTGACTCGCCTCAACTCAAAGTCTCAAACTACTGCTCGCTAATCAACACACGGAGTACTAATTTAGGAAGTTGCCAATTAGGGTTTTATCGACCCCACAATCTCAACGGTATTCGGAGCCCCGACACTGGATATCAACCACAAATGGCGGAATTAATATGCAGAAGCCTTAGAGATGGAGCATTAGAGGGGGAGCACGCCCCTGCTCTCAATTTGAACGACTCCATTGAATCACCTCTCGGACCACTAGTTTTCAATCACATTCTCTCCCAGCTTTTTTCTAGCATTTCCGCCTGTAAATCGCAGTCTCGGTTAGTTCAATTATCCAACAAGCTCATGTGATAGTTCAGAAGAAAGAAAAAAGAGTAGTCTTTAAGTTACTTTACTTATTTATTTTACTTGATGCGTTTCCCAGAGGAATTTTATTGGTCGCTTTTTATCGGCCCCCGTCATTCTATGCTGAATTGCTCAAATGTAGATGCAGTGACGGCGATTCTTCAAATAAATGGTTTGATCCATAATTATGAAATTACTTCGTGTATTACAAATGTACAGTGTTCTTATTAAAACACATTGAAAGGTTGATATATTCATATGCTGAAATTTTATCAGGCTTAGCGTTTTGGATTGCTACACTGATCCTTTGGGTTGGAAATCTAGACTCAAGGAGCTTGGGACTGTTACTAATAGTACCCCTGTAGAGACTTATGGTAAGAGTACTCTATTCACCCATGTTAAGGACTCCAATAAGCTATTGACCTCAATAGTTGAACTTGGAAAAGGTAGGGAGACAGACTTTCTTTGTATGGGGTGGCATTGTTTTATGACTACTACTATTATTGTTGTTATTCTGTGTGCCGTTTCTTTTGCAGAAATGGTTGGAGAAGGAAAAGGAAGATTCACAGTTGCTATAGATTCGGTAAACCTATGAAGCTTCAAACCTGATAAAGGAATGTGTGTGTTGGGAAAGTCCCATCTCTTTCTCTTTATTAAGGGTCTGTTTGGAACGTGTAAAATACCAGATAAAATTTTAGGAAATTCGTGAGTAGACTTAAAGAAACTGTGGGGGATAAGAGATGCTCAAATTCCCTAAATTAGTACTCCGTATTAGATACTTGTTCAAATGACTTTTGATTTATTTATTATTTAAAAAATAAAAGTATATGTTGAAAATTAAAAATCCGGTCCTATTTTATTTCCGTCTGTATTTTGCAATGTATTGCCAAACATATGAAAATAACTTCCATTGGATTCCTTCGCCTTGCATTTAATATTCTCTTTTACCTTTTGATCTCTATCTGCAGGTAAGTGAGATGTTGAGACACTCATCCATCCATTCTGTCGCTAGAATTTTAAGCCACCTCCGCTGTCATGGTATACTCTCTTGGTTGCTTTTGCAACTACTTTTTTCTTATAGTATAGGTGCCCAACGATGTGGAAATATAAAGATTTTTGTGCCAAGTTTCATAAATGGTGCAGAAAGGACTAGAAACTTCGTCCATTGGCTCAAAGGATGGCCTCAAACTTGTTTGCTTTTCCAATAGAGTAATGCTCGTTTAGATTACAAATATTGTGCATTTTTCTCCATTATTATGGAATAACAACTCTTAGGTCCAAATACTACATAATATGTCAGTTATTAAAATCTCTAAACTTTGTCAGGAAAGTCCACTGTATCGTAATCATATTGCTTTTATCGAAGTTTAGTATGCAGTTCTTACAACACATTGACATACTTTAATGTACATGTGAATTCTTTATCCATAAGTATGATCTTCTGTTCTTAGTTAATATTAACGCCTCTGTTTAGTTGCCAAAAGTTGCTTGTTTGGCTGAAATGGGTGTTACACTCTCTTCCTTCTGGAAAGTCAGCAATTCAAGTATTTCATGTAATAACCCTCTGAGCAAACGGGCTGTAATAGGTGATATCTGATTATATCTTCTTGTGTTATGCTTCCTCCACCCCATTCTGGTTTCCCTTTTTCTATTTTCATCTGTCCCACATCATATTTGGTCATATTTGAGTAATTCAAAATCAGCCATACTTTACAAATAATATCAACCACTCAATTTTACTTTTTCTTTATTTGAGTGCTACATTCCCTTGCTCCAAATTTAGGACGGCGGGAGTAATAGATATCATCCGCATGTGCTCCAATCAATATTTCTGAGGTGTTTCTTATGGTACTCATTTATCAGTGAAGTTCCTATCTAGTCATTCTTCTGTAGGATGAAGGATTTTCGAATTTCTTATTCATACTTATGATTTTGATTGCAGACCAGGTTTCAAGTGTGTTTTCCTTATTGAATTCGGACCTTCATGAGACCAAAGTCACTTCTACACTTGAATATTTGTCTACCATACGTGCTGATATAGTACCAGTGACGTCTCAGACAGTAAGTGGTCGAAGGGCTACTACCACAGAGAACCTACCAATGATGGAACAAAACTTTAAAAGAGGGAAGTTTCAGGTACGCTTCAAGCGAAGGAATGGGCGTGTTAGAGTCATGGTAATAAATCATCAGTGACAACATTGTTATTTTATTATTTGATCAAATCGTCTCTAATTTGATTTTTTTTTCAGCGTGAAGATATACAGGTTGTGGATACTGGTGTTAAATTCACCCATTGTAATTTGGAAGATGGCGATCTAACTGCTCAAAGCCTTGTGCCCAAGGTTGCCCCACCGCCTATAACCTTAGAATTTATTTTCCTCCCCTAAACTAGTGCAAATGTGCAACATATAAATGCATGTTAAATCACCATCACTATGAGCCACATATAAAAATACAAACCGGCATAAAATGACTTCTCTTGTCCGGTTTTTCTTTTAAAATGGGACCCAAATATTGATATTATATTGCATATTTCTATTTAATTATTTATTAATAATTAAATCTCGTGAATTAATGTGATGAGTGCTTTACAGGTGCAATTTAATCTCCTGCTATCAGAAAAGGAACGCCTTGATCGTGAGAAGGTTGTGCTCCCATTTGAACACCAGGGTATGGACGTGTTTTTGAATCTATGAGTACTTCAATATCTCTGTTTTTGTAGCCTCGATTGGATGAATGGTCTCGGAGAGTTTCGAATACAACAAAAAGTTCAAATAAGAATTTTATCTTAGGGGGTGTTTGGATCTGATTCTTAAAACTGCTTTTGCTCCTTCAAAGAGCACAAGCAGAAGTTGGAGTGTGTGGGTAAAAGAGCAGAAGTGATTCTGGTGCTCTAATTTACTCATAGAATCAGTTTTTTTTTTAAGCTGGGGGAGACCAGCTTCTGAAAACTGATTCTGCTTCTGCTTCTGCTTTTAAAAAAGAAGCAGAAGCAGAATCAGTTCCAAACACCCCTTATTCATGGATGATTGGTTCAAATAAAAAATGCCTCTAGTCTTTGGTGAAGATTAAGAATTTATATTGGTCATTGATTGACAAAAATGGATGTAGAAGATGAATTTTGAAGGCAAAATTGTGGTAGCATTTAGAAAATAAGTTGAAGCTCAGCGTGGAAAAAGTGTATCATAATCTACAATATAAATACTAGTGCATATATGTACCTAAAAAGTGCATCAGATTTTAAAATAATGTTAATGAATCAAAAGTCTTGTCCTGGAATAATTACAAAAATCAACAAAATATCTTACAAAAATATCATGTTACTAATTATCATCATTTTTGTTAATGAACTAAAAAAGTTAAAGGGGGGAATTAAAAGTTCTCTTTTAATATTAAGATATTTATGATAGTATGTGATCTAATTAGAACCCTGTCATATATGCTAAGCTCTCTAAAAAACACTCTGCATTGGAACAGTAGCTCTTTCCTGCATCTCTTATTGATAATTTGATATCCAGTCCCACTTCTTTGTACAGGGAATGGTAAGCCCATTGAAATCTATGATGGCCGAAAAATTCTTAATGGCACGGAGAAAAACAGAAATATTTCTGATAAGATGCTTCAAACAACTGAGGATTCTGGCAGGGGTGAAATAATCTATTTTCGAGATTCAGATGATGAAATGCCAGATTCTGATGAAGATCCCGATGATGATTTGGACATATGATTTTCTTGTCTGTGTTTTCCCCTTGTTTTTGCATTTTGAGTGATTAAAGTCAAATTAAGTCATGCAGAGATGGCCGAGCCGACCATTGTATTTGTACCAATGGCCAATGCCATGAGCCCATGAACATATCAAAGTGGTCGATACTGTTTCAGATTGTATCCAATGTTCTATTGGGCATACTTTTGTTATTTAATATTCATTTTAGCCGTTATTAAAAGTCCCTTTTAACTCTTACTGAAAAATGACCCTGCGCCAGATCATACTTTTTGAGATTTATGAATAGAATAAATTTCACTTTTGGTCCTACGAGTTTTAGGTCAGCCCAGCGCCTAGTGCCTAGGCGGCTAGGCGGGTGCCTAGTCGGGGACTAGTCGGAAACATAGAAATTGCATTTTTATCTATATTTTTACATAAATATGATAAGTAATTTTGTATTTTTGTGTGTATAAAATACATATATACATATACATTAACAAACATGAATGTATATGACAACTTAATCGGTCAGACATTTTCTGACTTAATTCGTTCAGCTTTGTTTTAGTTGTCCTTGCTATACAGACGTCCCAATTTATCAGAGTGTTGTGTTTAACCTTGATTTTTCCTTCGCTTGGCTTCTACGTTCTTTGCTGATACTTGCTTTCATCGTCGTCACTTGCACTCTGCTTCACCTATCTTTAGCGCCAAAATCACTTGCCTTCTTCTTCACCTCTCATCGCCGACACCTGCGCTCTGAATCCAATTCCATCGCCAGCAACATATTACGGAAGCAGTGACCAGCGCTATATCCCCTACCTTCTTCATCTAGGTATTCTATCTAAATTTATACATTTCTTATAATTTTATAGATTGAAGAGTTTGTTGATATACCCAATCTCTGAATTTTGACATTCAATACAATCCATTAGTTTCGAATTTTCTGGAAAGTATATTTGTTAAACAAATTAAGGTAAAAATAAAAGGAAATTTAAATAATCATATGGAGGATTTGTCCAGAAAATATAATATTAGGAAAAATATAGAAATATATACGAAGAAGAAGTTTTTTTTCTTGAGAATCGACTACTGAAAAGGAAAGTAATTGCATATTTGATTGTTTCTGCTTGTTCTTTTATATCAAATTACTTTCAAAGTGAAAATAGTCCATTCAAAACTACCAACAATCTTATATAGACCTGTGATGAATATATGCATCCCAATGCCCCCAACAAGAATCCCACCAAGCACAAAACCACCTACGAAACTAGCCGCCTCAATTGATTTTCCTCTGTTTGATAAAAAATGAACTTTTTATGGCCATAAAGTTTGGTCATGTTTAAGGATACTGGGATGCCTCTGGATTGTTAAAAAAGGGAAAATAGATTTGTTAGGGCCCATTTGATAAGTGTCTGAATTGGCTAAATTCCTGAAGTTGTAGTTGGATATGCTGAATTTTATAGAAATTTATTTCTAAAATAAATCTAAAATAATATCTGCACTACTTACCTGCACCAAAACGCTTACTTCAAATGTTTTTCTGATATGTTTAATTGATATGTCAACTATAGATATAAAACATTGTTACTATTTTGAAGTTTGATTTTTTTTAATAGTAGCTAATGTTCTACCTCTTTCTAGTGGATACAATAATCACATTTCATATTTTTATCAAAAAAAGCTTGGAAGTTTTTGATCACCTAATATTCTGCTTGTGGTTCATTTTGTTTATTAGAAAGTGCGCACGAAACGGTGAAGATATTGGAGAAGAAGATAGTGCGCAATGGGTACCCAAATTCTATAATATATGATGAATTTGTGAAATCAAATTGCCAATATAGATTAGTAGAAAAATCTTTAAATTTAAAATGATGTTGTCATAGAATTCTTGACTTTTTCTTATCATGTAATGTGACTCTTTTATTAAGCATATGAAATTATCTTTCAGAACAAGGAAAGTAAACAGACAATACACGTCCAACACATGTTTAAGAAAGGAGGGCTATTTGGTCATTTAACATAATTCAGACTTCTCATTCAGCACACATAGTAAACAACTTGTTATCTCAATGTCACTAAATCCAGACAGACGTCTTAATCCATCCAGGACTTGATGCAAAAAAAAGTAAACAACCCCTTAGTTTTTTGTCAAGTTTGTTTTTTCAGTTTTATAAATCGTACTTGGTATTTAAGACTTTGTGGCCCGACCCGGAACCGGTACTGTGCTGAACCAGCCCGGTCCGGGTAGGCCTGGCCCGGGGGGTTCCCGGTGTGGGCTCGGGTCACCCAAAAGCCGAACCGGCCCGGTTCCAGGCTTTTTTTTTTTCAATTTTTTTAACTTTTCGGGTTGGACTGGGTATTTTGGGCCATTTGGGGTGGTTTGGGGGTTGGTGGTGGTGGTGGTGTGTGTGTGGGGGGGGGGGGTTAATTAAGAAAAGGAAAAAAAGTTGACCCGAGGCTTGGCCCGGCCCGGACCCAGTGGCTACCCGGGCCGGTCCCAAGCCCACCTATTCAGAACCGGCGGCCCACCCGGGCCCGACCCGGCCCGAGTCCAGGACTAATCCCGTGTCACTACCGAGAAACGTGACACCTCAGCGCCCTCGCCATCGCCTCCCACCGCTTATAGTTCAAAAATCAATCCCTATCCTCCTCTTCCTCAATAGTTAGGATGCTTTCTTTTGGATTGAAATTTGTTGGTTTGGTCTAGTCTGTTTAAATCGGATTTGGTCTGATAAATGTTTGATCTATGTGTATTTTATAACTGTCCAAATTTGATTTAGTTTGGTCTGGTCTGTTTAAGTCTAATTTGATTTAATCTATTTAAGTCTGGTTTGGTTTGGGACTAAAAATAGTCCAAAGAAAACATCCTAATTCTACATCAGTTCTCAACAAGTTCATCCATTGGAAACCAATCAAGAATCATACAGAATATGTTCCAACCCAAACCGAAACAAAATGGAAATAACAATCGTTGGCAAGGAAAGCTGCACACATGTTATTGCTCTTATTTAATTGATTCATTCTATATGGTTTAGGTGTTAATCACCATAGTATCGTGTAGGCATGGACTCAACCGGGTCGGGCCTAATGCCCGGCCAGGCCAAAAGCAATTTCAGTGATACCCGAGACTGGCCCAGAAGTTGACCGGTGCCGGTCCGGGCCCCGGCTGGGTCGGGTCGGGTCCGGTTCTATTTTTTTCTTTTTGTTTTCTTGATTATTTTATCCCCTACCCCCCATCACACAAACCCATCTGAAACACCCATTCCAGCTCATTTAAACCCAGCCCAAAGCTCCAAACAAAAAAAAACACAAAGAAAAATTGAAAAGGTTCGAACCGGGCCCGGGACCGGCCGGGCCGGTTCTCATTTACCTCAGCTCGTACCCGCTCCGCTTGCCCCCTAAAAACTGGGCCTAGATCCGGTACCGGTACCCGGTTCCCTGGTCGGGCCGGGCCCAAACAGTACGGGTTTCACGAGTGCAGGTTTCACTTGTTTCTTTTTGGTCTTCTCTATGAACGCTACCCAAAACTATGTGGTCCATTTAATAGCATCTTTACCGATTATGAAATTTATCGTAATTTCCAAGACCCCGTAACGGCCGTAAGTGTTTACCCCTAACCAATTTTTATGCTTAATTATGGTTAAGAGTAACCAAATTATTATAGAAACTTCTTTGGTGACTGGTGAGACGTAATTTTATCGGGTCCGTTGCATGCTCGATGTAGCTTAGTAGCTTTGGTAAATCCTGGATGCATTTATATATATAGTGGAGGGCATCAGGGACTCAGAGTAAGTGCCCCATTTCCGGTTCCGAAAATCAGCTTTAATACTTGCCTCATAGAAAAAAGGTTCCTGCTTCTGATCTCATCAAATAATACTAGTTGTTAGATGACCGTTTAAATGTCGTAGAAGTTGCTAAAAATGAACATTGTTGAAGTTGAAGAAGATGTATGAATTATTCCTCATAACTCAAGGTTCAATTTGATTTCAAGTATTATCTAAATAAAATAAAATAATTTTAAATGATGTATGTTAATTTCGATTAAGGTTGTCAATGGCTCGAACCGAGTCCTAACATATGGATCACGAGTTCAACCCGTTTAGGTATAGTGACATTTGAGTTTGAGCTTGCAATTGAAGCATTATGAGCTCGATGGATGCTCGATGTTTGATTTGAGCACTTGACAAACTCGATAGATATGCACGAATATAGAAATCTATATAGTTATGCTCGTTAACAAGTACTCGTATGTGCTAAAAGTATTTGACACATACTCAAATTTTTAACAAAGTAATATTGAATAACAAAATCAAACACATATGGTGCATATCCAATCGGGCTTGGTACAACTATTATTCATGATTATTTAAGGATCTATTATTCATCACTTCGTGTTAACAATATCTCGTAATAGAATCGCTCTGAAAAAGGTTTTGTCAAGAATTTGTTAAGGCTTAGAAGATCTTTGTCAACCCCGAGCCAAAATATAAGCAAGAGTGGTTTTGCCACGACAATTTTAACACAAAGTAATGACAAAAAATTGTGTGAATTCATGATTAATTAGCACCAGACTCTTGTTTTTTGCAATGCAATATAATAAAATTTAATTTGTTAAATGAAATTATTAAATGGAATTGTGTTAAAGGAAGAAATACTGAACCAAGATTATATTAGACCCAGATTCTAATCATTTACGGTGTGAAAATTAATTGGATGCAAATCCAAAATAAAAACAGTGTAGCCATATAGCTAGGGTTGTATGATTAAGTTCTAATCCAAACTATATTTCTCTTTCAAAAAGTTGGAATATTATTATTTAGAATTGTCTTAGTCATTTGAAATCTATATTTATAATCTATAGATGTGTGGATCGCTTCAAATTAAAACTACTTAATATATATGCAATTGAAAATTAATCTCCGCAAATTAGACAAAATCAACCACTCAATCAGTGACAAACCCGACATGTTCCTCTACACAAATCTCAACATACTAGTTTTACTTTTTATTTTACGTGTCTGTCATCTTTATTATGTCATCTTTATACTTTAATAAAATTACAAAGGACGAAAAGGGTTTGTCACAAGTATACAAACTATTGCTGTGTCACAACTCACAACTTGTTGAATAGTTCTGTGATTTTAGTGTTGACCAGCTGATCCAATGCAAACTAAAGTTTTAGACTTTGAATTCGGTAATGTTGCTGTAGATCACATTTTAACATCATTTACACAAAACATTTAATTCTCACAAAATAAAACATCACGTTTTATATGTGCATGTGAAAATGGTTAGGCACTTAGGCGTATGAATAGATAACCATTAACCAAAAACAGAAAACTTTCTTGTTAGTTGAATTGTACGGAGTAACTTGTAACCAATTCAATTTCTTGTACTCGGTATTATTATACTCCGTATAAAGTAGTTCGTGCAAATGATATGTCTGAATGCACGCGTGCATAAGAAATTTTGTTAAAGATTCCACAAATGTTCCTAAAACAACAAAATTTAATTTATTTAAATTCTTTTACATATTAGAATTGAGCCGATATGTTTTTTCTTCCAAAAGGATTTTATTTTTTACAGAAAATTGTGAGATAGAACTTTGATGTCTACGGATAGAATTGAGCAGATATGTTTTTTCTTCCAAAAGGATTTTTTTCTTTTATAATCCCTTCGTATCATTGTAATTGTCTCAATAGGTTTTTGTAGTGGTTTAAGATAATTTATAGGTTTAATGTATACTTTTTGAAAAAGTATGAGTTTTTTAGTAGTGTAGCAGTACTTGTAACTACTTTTGGAGTGGATTTATTTGCTAAAGTGGAAGTGAGACAATTTTTTTATACGACCAAAAAAGAAAAGTGAAACAGTACGGTTATTGTGATACGGAAGGAATAATTATGTATCTGGATTTAAGCTTTCACTAATGAAGTAATGAGTGACATGGGCGATGGATGATCGGTACGTCACCCATTGAGCTACATCCACATTTTCAAAATTTCGGGTTCGAGAACAACTAAATACGCGACTTAACATTCACAACTTAGGCTCCACACTAGTACACTACTAAACTAACTAATCCACTTATTTCACTAATTACCTGCATGCCTTTATGATTACCTTTTATAATACTCTGTATATGATTTGAAGAACATTATATACAGTGTTACCCATATATTATTGTTGTTACCCATACATTATATTATTTGAAAATAATCCTCTCCGTATATATTATTGTTACCAATATTGAAAATAAAAAAAGTGTTGCCCTCTAATAAAAATGGCTCCCTCCATGTTCAATTTGGAGGTCTATACTAGCCTCGTAGCCTTTGTTCACAAGAGGAGTCGTCGCTCGCATTTTGGACGTTTCTCAGGGAAACGTACAGCTTGTTGATTAAAATAATTCGTTTGATGAACTTGACTAAATTAGTCCAATTCCACATTTTTCAATAAGCACTCTGATTTCACTTTCATCACAGATGTAGAGATAGTTGACTCTTTTCTGACCTCGATTGCCATATTTAACAGTGTCATCACGGGTGCGCATACATTACTGTGTCATTCTTTCATTATTATTTATTATTATTATTATTATTATTATTATTATTATTATTATTATTATTATTATTATTATTATTATTATTATTATTATTATTATTATTATTATTATTATTATTATAATACCCGCTACCATTTTAAGGTTAAAAGTGATTACACTAGTTGATCATGAAATGTGTTATCTAGTTTATCTTTGATATATTTATTTTTAATTTCATTGCATGGTAAATTGTAAGTATTGAAATGAGACATAAATCGACAGATATCTATTTTGATAAATTTATTTTGGTAACACTGTTATTTGATGGTAAAAATTATTAAAATACACCAAACTTTGAAAAGGTGTGAGGTAAGCACTTGAAACTTGCATATATGATTTAAATACCTCAAACTTTATATAAAAAGTTACTTTAGCACCATGATCATGTATTATTTCTTTCAAAATTGTTAATTTTTTGTGTTAATTTCATAATTTGAAATGTTTAAATATTCATGAAGATACAATTAACATTCTAAACTCCATTGTAAAATAAATAGTTTACCCCCCACCCCCACCACTCTATATAATTGCAACGTTTTCAATTTGCTATTTTAAATTATGCAATTAACACCATAAATTTACATATTTGAAATAAATAATACATGACTATGATGTTAAAATAACTTTTTTTAAAAAAGTTTGGGGTATTTAAATTACATATGAAAGTTTGGGGTGTTTATCTCACACCCCTTCAAAGTTTGGGATATTTTAATTATTTTTCCCTTATTTGATTTATCAGCCAACTTTTTCACCAAACATGTAACTTTTGATTTCGCATGATTGTAGTTACTTTTGTAACTGTTTCGACTGAAGTTTCTGTAGAGGATCATTCTTTCAAAATTATGAGAGCACCAGTATGGACACCGCCGAATAAAAAAATTATATAGAAATTGCTCTGTATAGAATCAAAACATACATAAAGTGAAAAAATAAAACTTATTTAGATAATTAGATCTATTAAAAAATAAATTTATCAAACTTTTTCAAAATAAAAATGAATTAGTCATATTTTGAAAATAAAACACGGTCAATTTTATCCTCCACATCATGGGGCTCCCTTTTAAGACATCCTTAGTTCCTTACCTCCACCATTTATTGGACAGTTCAACTGTTGTAGAGTTGTAGGTACATACCTCCAATTACAGGCCTGTTTGTCGTCCCTATACAAGTACGGAGCAATAATTTTAAGTTACAGAATTAAATAAGACAAAATATCTGCTGGAGGGGTCGGATGAAACGGAACAGCGATTGCCATTTCATGGTGCATGTGGTCTGTGAAAAGCCTCGTTTATTAAAGTGATTTTGGAGAAACTATTAATATGTAGTAGTTAATTGATATTGTTTGAGAAAAAAAAGTGATTCTAAAAAAGTAAAAGTTGGTAGTGTTTTGTAAAATAAGCGCTTTTTGTGTAATAGAAAAAGTGAAAAGCAGTTTAAAGCACCCTTCCACCTGTTTCCAACTTTTAGCTTTTAAGTGATTAATTTAAGCAGAAACTGTCATTTGAAAACACTATTTTCAACTTTTTTTAATCTTAAAGCTAAAAAAAACTTTTTTAAGCAAGTCCAAACACTCCAATAGTAGTCTGCCTCCCATTATCCTTCACTTCTTTTCTTGTATTCTCATAAATCATAATCTATTTCAATTCACTGTTGGACAACCTCACGTGTCTCAATCTCCCTTTATATCCTATAGAGTTGATTTTTTTTTTTGCAAATATCCTATAGAATTGATAGAAAAAAGGCGAAACATTTTTTAGATGAATGGTTTTTTGAAAACAAAAAATTGATTAAACTTACAAAAAACCTTTTTATAAACATGTTATATATGGAATGCGATACAGAATAATAAAGAACAACAATACGAAGTACGTAGTATATCATTTTGTAATTGCACTTTTTATACTTTAAAAAATTATACTAGTATATATGGAACAATGTAAGACTTAGGCTCAATGTTGTATAATTTATTTTGGGCATTTAGTTATTTTCTTCACTTATTTGGTAAGTTTGAGATTTGGTGGCTAATTTCTCATGCCTTTTAAAATATTTGGTAATCTAGCTGAAATGTTATTTTAATTACTTCGTATGTCAAATATGTACCCCACTTTTGATTGCATTGGCTACATACACGTGGCCACACCTCCTTAAGTGTGTTAAACTTATGTAGCCACCATCTAGGCCGTGTGAACTTGTGTTATGTTACCAGGAGCTCGGACATAGTGACCCAAGACATCCAATTATCCGAACCGATTGAGTTAGTGACCAGCAACCAGCTTAATGGACCACACAAAATCGGACCACAACGATTTGATAATACGTACGCTGCTTTCCGCAGTTGAGAGAAACAGCAGAAAAAGAGCTGCCGTTTTCATGGCTGATCTTTTATCGCCTGCTTTTCACGGATCGGAGTATATTCTTCTTCTTCCTTTTTGGTTTTTTTAAGTAAAACCCATTGAGTTCACATCTTTTGTGTGATGGTTATTGAATTGATGAAGTACCAATTAAGTAAAAGGTTGTTTACTTTTGACTTAATGGAGTTAATGACAATGACGGATTAATCATTTAGTGATTAAGTCATAATTACTTATGGCATAATTGGAAATATGACTTAATTGTTAAAAAACCGACTTAATCATTAAGATTGATAATAGCCGTTCTCCTCATTGAGTTCGGTGCGAAGCTATGTTAGACTTTGAGCCCGTTTGGTAACACAAAAATCGGCTGTTTTGGCTGTTTCTGCTGAAATTTATGAAGTTCTTGCTGAAGTGGCTGTTTTGGCTGATTCTGCTGATTCTAGAAAAAAATATTTTAAAAATATATTTTATTAATAAAATAAAGAAAAAATTAAATGTAAAAATAGCTAAAATGGTCATCTACAGTAACTTCAGCCAATACAGCCAGAAAAGTAACTTCAACCTTACTTTTTCTGCTTATTACCCAATTCAGCACGCGAAAGTAAAAATTACGTGTTTGGTGAAAAAGCTGGCTGATAAGCCGAAAAAAGGGGTCTCCAAACGGGCTCTTTGTTTGCAAACACTACTCTTAAATGCTTTTGAACTTTGAAGAGTAATTTGAGAAACATGTTTAGTAGTAATAGTAGTGTTTGAAAAAAAATGATTATGAAAAGTAAAAATTAATTATGTTTGGTAAAATTCGTAAACAAAGCCTAACAAAGTTAGTCCTCAACTTAGAAGGTTGAAAAAACTCTTAAAATTTGTTCCCTACTAACTTAACCGTTAAAATCAACTGGATTTGGGATAAATCCATATTACTAACCGTCCCTATCTTTAGAGTTTAGATCACAGTCCACCCCTACTCTACACCATACTGCCGGGCCTGGTATGGAGCCCTAGTGTGGGCGATTCCATATGAGTCCAATGCAAATAAAAACCATTATGATCATTCTGCTTTGTCTGAGATTACGATTATGATTTGTCTGCTATTATAGCCAATTTCCCTTTCCTTCTTTCCTCTTACACCCTTTGTCAGCTTGAGCTGTATGGTTGAACCAAACACACATTTCGTGAAAAGCTCCGTACTATATATATTTTCTCTTTAGCGGTATCAGATGCAAATAGGCTATGATTACCTTGTTTTCTATCTCAGGGACCTTTTGCTTTTGAAAGTGGCTTTTGCAGAATGCTGAATAAAAATGTTGTCTTTTTCGGCAGATAAAGAAAGTGAGAAGAGATGTTGATTTGGGACTTGGGAGAATCCACCATAGCCGAAGAACTAGAAAAAGATTGATTGGTATTATTACTTTATTACCTGAGAGTTGAAAATGAATGAAAGTGGGGGGATATCAGCTTCATCATTGGCTATCACAACAACTGAAAAGAAGCCTCAAAGAAGTGGAGGAGGCTGCGTAGCTCTCTTCTTTCAGCTCTTTGACTGGAACCGCAGGTTAGCCAAGAAGAGATTTTTTCCCAAGAAATTGCTTCCACCAGGTTAGCTCGCCTCTCTTTTCCCTATCTCACGCCTTTTAGTAAAAAGTCTTTCTTTTTTGTTCTTTCTTTTACAAAGAGATGAGTTTTTTGTTGTTGTTTTTTGAGTTAGATCGTTCAAACCAAGGTTCTAAGAAGTTCGGGGGAGATGAAAAGCAGCCAAAGCTCCGTTTGGTATGTTTAAATCTCAACCAAATTAAATAAATTGAGAACTTGTATCTACATGTTCATTATATTTTGATGTTTTTATAGTTTTATCATGTGAAGTTTTGAATGCCATATAGATTGCAGACGAGAACAGTGGGGGATTTCCTAACTTTGGCAAGAGCAGCAAGTTTTATTATTCTGAGAAGAAGAAGGAAATGAGGTCTCCCGGACTGGTTGCTAGGCTCATGGGACTGGATTCCATGCCAGCCCTCCCAAGAGACGATTACCCAAAGAAGGTTTCTTTGAAAGATCAATCTTCTGCCACTAGTAGTAAAGAGGAAAATAAGTTTGAGGAGGGGGGAGATCCAATTGTTGCAAACTTAAGGCCTCAGAAGGCTCAGAAAACAGGAATGAGTGACAGGCTGCCAGTGACTAGGTTTGGATCCGAGGCTTTCCACATAAAGAGTATGCTTTCGCGGCCGAGGAAGAAGCATCTCCACCACCCAAAGCTTGTATCTCCCGTTAAAAGCTCAAGGAACGTCCCCCGGTCCCGGTTGATAGGTGTTGCAAATAAGATTCTTGATCCTGGAGGGATGCAAAAGAAGGGCAGGGGCAAATATGTTCTTACCGCCTCAGACACTCTGCATCCACCTTCATCATGTAGAAACTGCGGTCATTCTTTTGACATTGTGGACTCCATACCAAATGAAGAACATGAAGTTTCTGGAATTCCTTCAGAAACAAATGTGCCTAAAGTGCCTTTATATTTCTCCCATGAACAAATAGAGAGGAGGCCTTATCCACAAACCTCATCTATTGGTCTAATGCACAAAGCCCAAAGGCAAAACCAAATCTTTCCAGGGAGATACACTAGAGTAAAGCAAAACCAAACAGGTCCTACCAGTGAGGCTAAAGATTTTGTTTCGTTGAACAAAAGCTTAAAGAGGATGCCTGTAAAGGCAGAAAGATTTGATTTTGAAGCCGAAAGAAATTTTTCTAATGGGAGAGCCAAGTCTGTATCCCCGGTGCGAAAGAGAAGGTCTATGAATGTTGCTAGACAAGGCGAGAGTCCAGGGCACACATATGCTAGCTCTAATCCAATGAGTGGAAAAGACACTGATCTAAATGGCACATTAAGACTGAATGGCAGTAACAATGCTCCATTCACGTTTACATCTCGGTTCAACCCGAAGACAGTGTTGCCTAGAAAATCCACCACTGTCCTTCTCCAGGAGCTTATATCTGCCTTAACAGTAGATAGACAATTTGAAGAAGATCGTTTTAATGTAAGACCAAGCAAAATCAGTGGCATCTTTAGCCCCGCTGCCCCAACAAAGTTTATGGACACTTCTTTTACCAGTAAATCTTTTGTCACTGACCTTACCAACAATGTAACTGAAGTCCTAGAAAAGACCAAGCTTTTCTATGGGTATTTGAGGAAAGGAAGCAAGCTAAACTATGCAAAGGAGGTAATTTTAAATGCCGAACTAGTGGTTAGCAACTTTTCGATAACACGTTTTGTTCTTGAAGATCTTGAAACTCTATCATGTGTTATAACAATGAGGTTTAGTGACATCCTTGGCATTCACACTACCAGAAATGAAAATGTGCTTAAAAGGTTTGTCTTTGATTGCCTTTTGGAGTTCTTGGATTCGAAGTGTGTTTTCAAGGCGTGTGCAAAGTTACCACCTTTCACGAACGTGGAGACGTTAGTGTTTGAGATTCTTGAGGAGGTCAAATTGTGGATGGGAATGAAGGGCTGGGCTCATGATGAGCTGTTGGATTGGGACATGAGTCATTCGTTAGGGGAGTGGACTGGTTTTGGGATTGATAAAGCGTTTGAATGTGGTGCTGAAATTGGTCAACTTATACTCCATAGTTTGGTTGAGGAAGTTGTAAATTACCTCTGAAACATTCTCCAGAAATATCTTAAAAAGATTGTTTGTACAAATGGAGCTTTCTAGTGATTAACGCTGACTCTGATATGATTCTTGGAATTAGCAGTCAAAAGAATTTGCATTGTAACCATGTAACCATGATCTTCATTAATTTGTCTCTCGGGTTTGTTTAGATAACTGATTCTATCATATATATATATATATGTATATATATGTATATATATGTATATATATATATAGGGAGCTCTTCCGGTAAGGTATACCTTACTGGAGCCTCCGTGCGGCCTCCACGTTTTAAGGGGCCTTCCCGGTGGAATTTTTCGATGAAATTGTTTGAGCATGTTCTTCATCAATTCTAGTACATCCATACCAAATTTCAGCAAAAAATTCAATCGGGAAGGAAGTCAAACGATTTTTGGAAGATAACTGCACCCTTTATATACATATTAAACGCAGTTATCTTCCAAAAATTGTTTGGCTGCCTTCCCGATTGAATTTTTTGCTGAAATTTGGTATGGATGTACTAGACTTGATGAAGAACATGCTCAAAAACTTTCATCGAAAAATTCCACCGGGAAGGCCCTCAAAACGGGGAGGCCGCACGGCGGCTCCGGTAAGGTATACCTTACCGGAAAGATTTCCTATATATATATATATATATATATATATATATATATATATATATAGGGGTTAGTTCCTGTGAGAACACCCTTTTAGGAGAGTAAAAAAGAACAAAATCTATCCATCAAAGATATCAAACCGAAGGCTAAGATCGAATATAAATTAATTGGGTAGCATGGTAATTAAGATGACCTTTGAAGGGTTATTTATAATCATAAAAGGAACTGTTTAACAACCGTTTAACACTAAGGGTAAATGTGTAAAACTCATGGTCAATTAATTTTGATAATAAACAACGGCCACTCAAATTTCCATATAAATAGGATCAAAGCATTAAGGGTCTGTTTGCAACAGCTTCTGTTTTAAAAAAGTGCTTTTTTTAATGAAATGAGGAGAAGTGATTAAATAAAAGTTGATAGTGTTTGAGAAAAAAGTGATTTTGAAAAGTAAAAGTGGGTAGTGTTTGGTAAAATAAGTGCTTTTTGTGTAATAGAAAAAGTAAAAGCACTTTTGATGCGGAAGCCGAGAAAAATAAAACTTGTAGTGTTTGGGAAAATAAGTGTTTTTTTAAAGCCAAAAGCTGAGAAGTGCTTTTTTAAAAGCGGTTGCAAACCAACCCTAAATGTTGGACAATCTATTAATACGGACCACTCTTTCCTTACATAGTTGACTTATTTAGGTTACGTTTTTTTTTAAATAATACCGAGTACATAAATGCAATCAAAGCATTATATGAAATTTCTCAATTGTGTGGATGCACAATTAAACATATGAATTTGCACTTCCGATGGTGAAGGTTGCACCCAATGTTTCTAAATTAATATATTGAAAAAATAAGATCAAATTTAATTGATTTTAATTATCTTATTGAGTTCTCTTTCAAAATAGTATTAATTTGCACTTAACCTACACGTTTGTGCACTTTCATAGATTTAAAATAAAAATAATTATAAAATAAAAATTTATAGAAATATACAAGGATATTTGCAAACCATCTACTATAATGTGCATTAAAATATATGCAGTAGTGCATTATTAGTGACACTTTCAAAATTTTATATTGATACATATATGTTATTAGTTTGCACTTTGTACTCATTATGTTACACTTTATTTATAAACTTCTGCCTATAAGAGTTGTACACATCATACATAAAGGTTGTGCACAATCATATGCTTTAAACAAATAATAACAGTACAAACTTTTAACTAATAAGAGCACTTTAAATACACATAAATGTGCACTATTATTACATCCTACTTTTAGAATTACTCTAGCACTTTTATTTAAAATCAAATGCATTTGTATGACGTGAATCTTAAATATATTCAAAAGTGTGTTAATATATAAAATAAAAAGTTTGATAAAAAGTTTCTAAAGAACTGAAGCCATGGTGAAAAATTAAAAAAATTAAATAGAACATAGAAAAAAAATAAGGATTAATTAAAAGTTTGCTCGAAAAAAAAAAGATCAATTAAAAGTAATATGATAAACCTTATCAAAAGAAAGAAAATATCAATATAGAAACACATGTAAGTCAATTACCTAATAATAAAGATGTGGCATTAATTGCAATGATTGATACGTAGTGTTAAGTATAGAAATATGCATAAAATGACCAAAGGACCCTATAAGTGCGTACACGTTCCATTGAAAAAAATTGATGATCTAATGGCTCTCATTTATTCTTTTTTCATCTCCTAAGATTAAGTTCTCACATGAACCTATATATATATATATATATATATATATATATATATATCGATTTTTTAAGTCACCTGTTGTAAGTATGGAGATTTTATTGTCATTCTCAAACATTTCACTTATCCCAAACACAAATTAAAATTCACCTTTAAATTATTGGAGAAGTCCGTAAAGTTAACCTGTTTGAATTAACCCAATCTTAGTAAGGTATTAGAATTAATAACACACCTTCGAGAAAATAAGATGTAGTCAATCTAAACAATAGTTTGAATCGAGTAAAATAACAATTTAAGATTATTCTTATATTATAATTTCAATGATTTTTTTATGTATTATTATAAATCTATTCTACAATCAATTTTAAAGTATTTACAGAAAAAACGTCTTAATAGGAATGACTGTTATTCTCCAGCTTAATGATTAAGTCAGTTTTTTGACTGAATGATTGCATCATGTTTCCAATTAAGTGGTAAGTAAACATGATTTAATATTTGAATGATTAAGTCATTTTCTCATTAAATTCACCAAGTCAAAAGTAAACAACCTCCATTTTTTTGCTTGCCCTATTCTGCGAGTAAAATACTATGCGTCTATGTGTGATAGTAAGTTGGTCTTTGTGAATGCAATCTCGTACTCCTTCGTCACATTGGACAATGTTAACTTTGTCTTTTTTGGTTGTCTAAAAAAACTTTCTCACTTTCCTATTAAAGTAATTATTATGTGGTTCTGCTCATTTCTCTTTACTCTGCATAAACTTCAACCACACAATTTTTACTATTCTTATTTCTTACCTAATTCAAAGAGTGCAAAGTCCATTGGGATGGATGTAGTATTATGTTATGAGATTCAATTAAGGTCAAATTTTTTTTGAAGAAAATGTTAGTTCAGTACATGAAGTTGCACCGTGTGGAGTAAAGAGTGCTAAACTATAATCGCATATAATCACAAACCAAGCATTGAAGCCCAGCAGGTTGTTAGGTTACCGTACCTAGTAGGAGGTCTCGAGTTCAAAACCCGCTAGGCCCATACGGGTTCGAAACTCAATGGAGTGAGTTTCAGACCTGATTACTCCAACCCCTCCCACAGACCCCTAGAGTAAAAAAATCGCGTATAATCGCATGTTTAGTGCTAAACTAGTACAAAAACGAACACACCATTTAAAAATGCTAATGGGGCAATTTAGAGCCGTTTTCTTTCAGTTCGTATACCATACGACCGGCCTACTATGAGCATAGTACACCCGCCACCAATACAACGTAGTTCTAGCAGTTGGCCTCATTTTTTTTTATTTCTCTCTTTTTTTAAAATGGTAATAACTTTTTTATTTTTGATCTGATTTTTATAAAATTTATATCAACATTTTTTATTTTTCATGATCTTTCAAATGAGACCAATATTGCCTATGTAATTTTAACATATTAACATTTGTGTGTACAAATATGTAACTTTACGTGTTAAAATATGTAACTCATGTTCAGTCAGGCCAAATGCAACTCGTGTGTAAAAAAATGTAACTCTACGTGTATAAATATGTAACTTTACGTGTAAATATATGTAACTCGCGTTCAGGCAGGTCAAATGTAACTCGTGTGTATATATATGTAACTTGCTTATAAAAAGATGTAACTCGCTCATAAAAAGATGTAATTCAATTATCAAATGTAACTGAGGCCACTGATCCACTCCCAAACAGATTCGATCTTCTATTTCACAAACTTGTCATCTCCCTGCAATTCATATGCAACTCATGTGTATATATATATAACTTGCATGTAGAAATATGTAACTTTACGTGTAAAAATATGTAACTTCACGTATAAAAATATGTAACTCACATGTATAAATACATAATACAATAATTTTTTTATATACACAATTTTAAGATAAATTGTGATTTACACAATTATTTTTCTATATTAAATTTAGTTCGATTTTCTTTATAATCCAATACTCATTAATATAATAGTTCGATAATTTCTTAAAATTTCATAAGCAATATTGGTCTCATTTGAAAGATCATGAAAAATAAAAAATATTGATATAAATTTTATAAAAATCGGAGCAAAAATAAAAAAGTTATTATCATTTTTTAATAACAAAAGCAAAAAAAAGAAGAAAAGAAATCAGGCACTCCGTCGTTTTGAATGAAGCGTGCGTCGTTTTGCAACCGGGCGCACCATCCTCATGGTGCGCCGGTTGCACGGTATAAATTGCGCGTTTTCTTCGTACACGGTGGAGGCTGAATGAGCATCCTCCCATACCCCCTATTTTGGAATTGGTGAGAAAAACCAGGGGGGAAATAAGCCTCGTGCGTATGAAGTAAGCCTCAGCAGTAGTCCTGCTCCTCTCCAGTACATACGGTACTGGACAATTCCATTTGATTCATCATAGGCATGCCACATACACACATTAAATCAAAGGCTTGTATTTATCCTCTTTCGTTTCTACGATGTATTCACTTGCCCACTCCTTTTTATTGCTTTGACTTGTACACGTCGACTTCTAGGAAGTAGGAACTATGAAGTCTCAAGTTACTGATTTCTTTTTTTGCTATTCCATTTGTGATCCAACTTCCAACTAGCTTTATATAATTCATGAATTAGATTCTTGAATTGAATGTATAAAAATTGCTTAATTCAGCGAATTGGTAATTCGTTTCACGAAATTAATAAAATTGTTAAATTACTTACGTATACAATAGCTTAAGCAAATCAACGAAAAAAATAGTACGGATTTGAAGGAAACTAATTTCTAACTAGGAAACAGACATAAAGCCACAATCATCATTTTAATATCTAAATTTTAAGAAAAACGGTTTTATGGTTTTAGTCCCGGTATATGTACTATGTAGTACATTTTGTTTTTCACCTTTGAAATTGACAACGAAACATTCTCGGCTAGTATGTTCCTTCTAATTCTTTGTCATATTACTCAAAAACTATTTAATTTTAATTTTAGAAGGTTTTTTATACATAATTTAAACATGTAAATAATTAGTTTTTCAGAATTGAACCTATTTTTAAAGATATGATTTTATAATTTTCTCTCTCTCTAAAGTTGGTTTCGGCCACTAAGGTTTTTCCTGCGTTTGTAATGAGGAGCCGCTGCCGCAGGCGGGCTTAGATGTTCAGTGTTTCTTCTTCCGCCATAAATTGCACGGTTTTTTCTTATTTTTCTTTGGGGAGAATAAGCGGAGGAAATAGGATGTTTGGTCTCCGGCAGCCAAAGGTTGTGCAGGAACGGAAGACGGATGCTTAGTCTCCGAGGGCCAAAGATCATGGACGAAGCGTGGGGCTAGATGTTAGAGCAGACTAGGGGGTCGGGATAGTCATCCGGCCCCGCTAAAAGTTCGAGAATGTAGAGCTCTGAATTACCTTCGATTTGATATATTATGTGTCATGTAACTCATTTTGAGCAAAAAAATATGACTTCTGGAATAATCAGAACTTGAAATGATCAAAATTTGATGTGTGATATTGTTAAATATCCCACACCGGAAAAGTTTGGATGAAACGAGTGTTATATTAAGCTCCTAACAATTATTGAGGCTACTCCTCCTAACAGGTTGACCTTTTAGGATGGAACCCCGGGTCTTAAATGGTATCAGAGCCAAACCGATCTATGGTGTGGGCCCCTTATGAAAAAATGACGACATGATTATATAAAAAATATGACAATGACGAACCAATGAAAAAAATGAATGATGGCACGATCCAGACGAAGTGTCTGGTCGTGAGGAGGGGTGTTAAATATCCCACACCGGAAAAGTTTGGATGAAACGAGTGTTATATTAAGCTCTGGGCTACTCCTCCTAACAGGTTGACCTTTTAGGATGGAACCCCGGGTCTTTACAGATATGAATTAGTGAATTACTCCCTCCGTAACTTTAAAATCTTCCCATTTCAAAAGTAGGTAAATTAAGAATAGTGAAAGATGATATGAATTATTGAGGGTATGATGGGAAAATAGTGGAATAATGTGGTGGAATGTAGGATAAATCCAAAAAAAGTAGTTGTAATAGTGTATTATTTTAAGAATTATTGGGGGTATGATGGAAGATTTAGAAATGGGAAGATTTTTGTGTTACAGACGAAAAATGAAAGTGGGAAGATTTTTAAGTTACGGAGGGAGTATATTCTTAAATTTAAAAAAAAAAATCTTATTAACTTAATAATTGTGTGAAGTTTTCAATACATGACATATATAAATACACAATACCTGAGTAAGTCTCATTAAAAAAGTATTTATTTCAGCTAAATATGAAACATTCAACTCAAAGTATTATTTAAAAATGGTCCTCCGTTTTGATGCTGTATATACTTAATTTTGACTCACTCACACGTTTTTTGGCTCCACAATGCATTACCCAGACATTCAATCCAATGAAATAAAGAAAGACGGATTTTCTAGAAATCTAGAATGTTGATATATATATATATACCTTCAGTTATAGTGAAAATTAATCCAAACCTTTGAATATTGAATAAGAAAGAGATTATGTTTTCAGTTATTGTAATTCTCTGCTAGTGAAGAATAGAAAAATAAACCCAAAGAATAGAGATACTCCGTAGTAAAAAACGGGTACGGTTACTTGTATTATTTTTTTCTGAAAATAATATGGCTTGGACGAAGAGAAGTAGTGAAGCTACGGTAGCAATTAAAAATGAATTGTCCAAGGGAAAGGTTTGATAGAAGTAAAATCCAGACCATTGATTTAATAAGTGACCATGTGGCATCTCTCTAATGAATCAACTGGAATTGTCCAGTATCGTATGGAATGGAGAGGAGCCGGATTCCCTTAGCAGCTACTGGTTCTGCCGCAATGACCTTTGGCTTGTCTCTCTGGCGGAGAGGAGCGGACCCCAATGCTGCCGCCGCTTGTGCTGTGAGTGAAGCTATCTAACAACACTAAATGGCAGAGCATGGGAAAATTTAGAGGCTCCCTTCCGATCTAGCCTCAGGCAACACATATGAAGTTCTCAGCCCATTTTGTCGCTCATGCTGCGGCGAAAACCCTCCAGAGCCGATTGCGAGATTCTGTAGCAACTGGCGAGCTTCACCTGACGGCGCACGGCGGAGCCCCGGACAGCGACGACCTAGATGGCGATGACGCGTGACTCGGACCTGGAGGAACGAACTAAGAGCGGTGGTGTCGTGTCTGATTTTGAGGAGCTTTGTTCGCCGTTGTTGTCGAGTGGCCGAGTCGACAGCGAGAAGCGCGCATAAGGTGGTGGAGCTCGACCAGATCCTCACTCCATATGGTTACCCTATAGCTTTACCGTTGACTTCGAGATTTGAGAATTGACAAGCAATCGATCCAGTCAGCCAGTCTCCCCTTTAAACTCCCTGATGTGATCCAGAAAAGTCCGCCCCAAAATGAGCGAGACTAATCGCTGAACATGCGAGACCTTTGAAGCTATTATCGGCCAGATTAGCATGATCGTTTCCACTCAATTTCACAACTCCCAATTATTAACCAAATAAAACCGTACGAGATTGCAAAAAATAAAACTTGAACGAAAGACAGAGCATAGATCTTCGGTCAGCCTCTGATCCCTGGCTCTTTGATCGCTCCAAGGTGGGGGTTCAGGAGGGGGGGGCGTCAATACTTCGTCTTCCTTGTTCATCTCGTCATCCCTTCTCGTCTCTGGCCTTTTCCTATCTTTTGCATCGCCGTTCATGATGATTAGAACATATTTGCCCTTGTTTTTGGCGACCAAGGTTTGCATCTCACCTCTCGTGTTGCCCTCCTTTTCCCCACTGCTCTCTTAGTGAAAAAACTAAACATCCAAATCCTAGTCGATGACCAAGTGCAACTCCAAAACCCTGTCACACGAATACACTCTTTTTCGCTTTCTAAGGTCAAAGGAGCAATTTTTTTTATCATTAAACCAACAAATATATTAAATCAACAAAATATTCGTCACTTGCCTTACAATACAATCAGTGAAAAAGCAGTAAACAAAACAATAAAACGCCTTTTGTCTGATTCTAGAATTTATCACCTCTGTAGAAGCAATAAAATTCGTTGATCCTGTAATGGGCACTGAGCCAATGACAGGCAAACCGGACTTCAATTCTCATCACCTGATCTAAATCCTAGAATCTTTCTGCTAGGAAATAAGAACACACTCAAAACAACATGCAATTCGAAAGAAAAAACATAAACAAAATAAAACGGAATTAAAACAAAGTTCATTCATATTTTTCCAAACCCTAGACTCTCTTGCACTCCATGGCGGCGACTCGGGAGGAGTACGAGCCCGCCGTTCATCCGCCTTAATAGTCATGCTTTTGTATTGATTGACGATATCCTCCATTGATATCTCTTGCTGCTGAATCGAACCCAAGTTCCACCACAACTTATCCGCCTTTTCTTTGTGTACCTTTGCCCATTGACAAGAGACAACAGTAGAAGACGAGCCACAACCGCCATAGCGCTGCATCCCTGGTCACGAGCCTGCTTGCACGATCAATATCCACCTACGGCTGCTCTTCGTCAATAATGAAAGTGGAAGAACAAAACCCTAGAGAGGGAGAGATAGCCTTTTTAAAACCCTGGTAATCTATAAATAAGGTCAAAGGAGCAATTAACCCATGTTAAAGTTGAACCATGAAAATTTGAAAAATACATTTTTTTTTGTGAAATCTCACTCTTGAAAAAGCCTCTCTCTACGCATGTTCTCCCATCTTACGCAGGACGGCCTAGGGAGACAAGCATAATTCCTGTTTTTAGAACCCGACAGAGAACCCATCCCTAAAATATGGAACCAACCAAAATATAATGCCTGTTGGGACGAACAATGAAACAAACCAAGTATCACCATCAAACCTCACAAGTCTCCCGCAACCAGCATGAGCTATGTTTCGTTTTAGGCAACCCCTTCCCTAATGTCAAAACTGAGTTCTATTATTCCTGGTTTCACAAAGGTCAAAAGAAAGAATTGCACACAGAACACAAAAACACTTCCAAACGATGCATTAAATTCATCCAAATGAAATCACGGATAAGATCATAGGAGTGAACTATTCAACCCAGCAAAATTAAAAAAAAAAAAACAAAAAAAAAAACCTTTGATCTATACACAGTGGAAGCTTATATCTATAGAAGAACCATTCTCTCAGGTAATAACATACAAAAAAATATACGCACTGTGAAAGAATTACAAAAACAAAAAAAAGAATTGAACTGTGGAAGAAAAACCATTCTCCAGAAAGCATCATCAATATCATCATCACCCATTTCAAGTTTCAGAACTGTCTATGGCCTAAGACAGTCTTGGAACCACCAACTCTGCTACTGTAACTTCTTCCAATCCCAGGAGCCCTTTTTTCTCCATTAATGGCATTCCTAGCAGCAGAAGCCAACCCTTTGAATTCGTCCAAACAAGCGTAGCTCTTCCTAGCCATCAACCCCCCACCGCTCCTCTTATCCCCTGAATTCATCGATTTACTCCCAACCCCACCAAAAATCTTCCCACTTTTCCTCCCCGGCGGAGGAGGCGTCACCGACTTCTCAACCACCGGCGGCATCGGCGCCGGCGGCTTCCGATTCTCCTTCCTCAACGCATATGAGAAGTCCGGCACAGACTGGGTCAAAGCAGAGTAACTCTTCGTTCTCTTCGGCGGGGTGGCCATGTTCCCCTGAACCACCTGATTCCCCTGAAACTTGACCTGTTTCTTGGGAGGAGTCAAAACAGAGTCTTCTTCATCTTCTTCCATGTAAACCGGCTGTTTCATGTGCCTCATTCTGAGCTTCGATTCCCTCAGATCGGCATATGCTCTGTACCTCGGGCCCCTCTCGAACAGAAAGCTCTCCGTCGTGAGCCGGAGAAACTGCGGCTGATCGGAGTTCGAAAACTGCGAGAGAAGCAGAGATTTTGGGTCGAGGGATTCACCCATTATCAATACTCGTTTCTCGATTCTCTCTGGCAGCTGCTACCGCCCAGGTTTGAGGTTTAGAGGTTATGTTTTTTCTTCTTCTTCTTCTTGGAAGTTGATATTACAACGGTCGGATGAAGGAAAGTCGGGAAAGACGTATTCGTTTTGAACATTTAATAGTCAGAGGTGAATGATGGCGTCTTTCCTTTTGTTTTAACCGTTTGAAATCATCAACGGGTGGGACCGATTATTAGACTTTAAATAGAGCCGAACTGGACCGGAAAAGATCTCGCGTCCGGTTTGTGGTCTGCGCGTGTAGAGTATCAAGCTCCGCCTCAACTTGAAAGGTTAACATTGGGATCTCAAACTCCAATGTCAATATGTGACAATCTATTTGTTTTATTTAGTAAAATTGAGGTGAGTATGTGAATTAAAATATATTTTTTGTAGGACAAAAATATAAAAATGTATTTTGAAATCTATCTTATTAGAATGTATTAAAACTACTCACAATAATGTATAAATACTTACATTCTTTTGTTTTTTTAAAGTTAATATTGTTATCCGTAGCCTTACTCCTACCCTTCACCGCTCAGTGGGCCTCATTCGGGATGAGAAAGACAATTACTATGGTCATGTGACCCATCTCCTCAGCCAAAGCTCTTGCCTTATATGATACCCCGTATCATTCTTTATTTTATTCAAATATTTAAGAATGCTTACTTAAACAATCTTATTTTGAAGGTGGATAACAAAGAGGTCTATTAGGGCATCACTGGGATATCACTTCAACATTGGAAATTTGGGTCCCGAATACAAGATGTCAAGTACCGAATAGGAGGTTGTAATTGGTCAATAAATCACACTCACCCGAAAATCAACAGGGCTGCAGAGTATATAACATATCAAAATACTTCGATTCAAACTAATTCTCATCACTTTAATTATTTTATTAGTATTCTTAAGTTTGATGTTGTTGGGATATTAGGGTTCAGCCCAATAACCCGACCCAAAATATCCTTAAAGCTCAAAAGAAGCAGCAAAGCCCAATGAATACCAGGCAGAGTATTGGGGTATTGAACGGGCTCTCACCAACCGAGTATGAACCGCTCTGTGATTCCCAAACGTGTCTGATTCCGTACTTGACAAATAACAAGCATCATTCTTGACTACTAATTACATTAGCCTAAAGTACCAATCGAGAAAGCCTTGCAAGTGACAGGCGCCGGTTACCCCCTGGGTTCCCGCTCAACATTTCCGTTGACTCACCATTTCAAGTCTGATTTGTGTAAAACTTAATCCCAACATGTATTAAGTTATAACCAACCATTTTATGAACTTTTTATCCTTCAAAACATCACATATAACCTTCAGGCACTGCTACAGATATGCGAACAAAGTGGCGCATAAGCTTGCTCAACTGAGTATTGAATATCGCAGACCATTGGTTTTCTATGAGTCTTCTCAATTGCCTAATCGGGTTCTTGGATCTCTTCAATTAGATGAGGATGGATGTCCTAATTTCAGGGTTTCCTAATTGGTTTTTGGTTTGCTTTTTTATTTTATCCTTTTCTTTTCATGTATTTTTAATTGGGTGAGGTACTAAGGTATAGTCCCCCCAATTTTCATTTATTTATTCTTATCATGTATTTCCAGGAGGTATGCCTCCTTAGGGATGGTTTTGGCCTAGTCCGCTCTTCACTTGTATTTTTTATTTGTTTTTAATAAAATAAATGCAAATGTTCCCCGACATTTGCCCTACTGGATGCGGTGATTTGCCTTCCGGGTTTAAAAAAGTTTTTATAAACATTTTCATATCATACTTCATGCATAATCTCAATGATCCATTTCACATAAGCCCTAACACTTTGGCTAATCACATGTTTAAACATCTTTTAAACATCATTATGAACATATATAACATTTACATAGGTAATCTCATAATTAACCCAAGAGTTACAAGACATTAAGCCGTCCACTCACCTCGAATGAGCTTTAAGAAGTTCTACCCTTCTCGGTTGAACTCCGACGAAACTCCGGCGAACTTTGTCTAGCTCCGGCGATTACTCCGGCGACTCTTTCAACTCGTGAAAGCTCTAGGAATACCTTAGACAATGTCCTAACAAGGTTTATCACCACAAAGCCTATATCACTACAAATAACCTCTGAAAGATTATTTTCTGGCGAAGCAGTCACTTTGGCTTCTAAGTCCGTTCTTAGACTTAGAACCACCTTCCAACCCCTTGTTCTACACTTCTAAACATGTAGAACAATTCTAAGGATTCCTCATATCATGTTAAAGTCATATTATAAACAAATAATGGAAGAAAAGTTACTAAAGAGCTTCTCACCTTTATTCACAATGTTTTTCTTTATTTTCGCAACTCTTTCTTCTTCCTTAAGCTTCTTGCTTTTTAGAGCTTTCTTCAACAATAGAGATGGAGGTTTGAAGAGCTCTATATCTCTCTCCTTAGTGTCTTGGTCGAGGTTGATAGGGGTGTGGGGGTGAGGAGACCTTCCTCCTTGTCTTACTTAGCAAATAAGTGTGGGAGTGAGGTCCACACTTATTTAATTCCAATTATATCATCCAGCCACCTTCCTATCACATTGAGAAGCCCTTACTTGTCTCAATAGCTCATAAAAACGTGGGGTGACCCCCACTCATGTGGGAGGTCATCCCATGATGTCCCGAAGTGTACATTCGACCCCGAAATTGTATTTTTTGGACTGTTTTATTTATATTTCATTTTATCGGGTCAAATAAAATATATCACGTGTTCTTAATCATTATGGGCCCTTAGAATGAATACACATTCCTCGTCTTTAATTTATAAGTCTCCGAAATTTGTGTTGGGTCTGATAAATTGTCAGTACTGGTAATCGGGCCCTCTTTGACCAACCGGTCAACCCAATGCCTTTCCTATGGCCCAACATGAATTTCTACCACCATATAACTATTATCTAGACCAAGATGAATATAGTATGTGGTTTCGTGTTATCGGGTGCCCCCCGCTCCCGGTGTGGGTTCCACGTGGAATTTACTATTCATGCAAAAGTAATAACAAAAGCCTCAATAAATCATTTACATAAAAGTAAATACACTTGGGGACGGTGTTACAAGTTCACCCCCCCCCCCGATTTGGGATTTCGTCCCCGAAATCAATGTGCCTAGTAAAAAAGAAACGAATATTACTCCCTCATCGAGACCTCGGTCTCTCATGTTTCTTATTCGACTTGATCACTCCTCCACAGAACCTTTTACCACATGAATCTCCTTGTTTCTCAATTTCTTTACTTGTTGACCAACAATCTTCACCAATTCTACTGCATATATGTTTTTACTGGTGGTTTCTCAAGAATATATGACGGATCTCGTACATACTTCTTGGGCATTGATACATGAAACACATCATGTATCTTCTCAAGTTCTGGTGTCAACTTGAGGCGGTAAGCCATGACCCCAATCCTTTCAAGGATTTCAAACGAACCAATGTATCGGGGGTTAAGCTTTCCCCTCGATATGAATCGGATGATACCTTTCCAAGGAGAAATCCTTAGAAAAATTTCATCCCCTACCTCGAATTCCAACGATCTCCGCCGTTTGTCTGCATAACTCTTCTGCCGATCTTGGGCAGCGTTGAGTCTATCACGAATAATTTTCACCTTAGCTTTGGTGATCTCAATGAGTTCTATTCCCTCGAGCTTGGCCTCACCAATCTCGTCCCGGCACAATGGTGTCCTGCACTTCATCTTATACATTGCCTCGTATGGAGGCATGCCAATACTTGCCTGATAACGTTTGTTATAGACAAACTCCACCAAAGCCAAGTGTTTGTCCCAACTCCCTTGGAAGTCAAAAGCACATGTGCTAAACATGTCTTCCAAAATCTGTATCACCCGTTCGGATTGCACATCCGTCTGTGGGTGAAAAGTTTTGCTAAACTTTAGTTTAGTACCTAATGATGTTTGAAACTTTGGCCAAAACCTGGATGTTAATCGTGGACCCTATCCGAAACAATAGATATTGAAACTCCATGCAATCTCACAATCTCCCCCGTATATAACCTGGCCAACCTTTCAAGAGGATAAGTAATGTTGATAGACAAGAATGTGCGCTCTTGGTGAGCCTATCAACTATTACCCAACGGGATGCATATGTTATATGTTTAATTTCACCGGGAACCGCCCCAAATCGCGACGGTCAGACAGAATCTCCTATAGAAGGACTTAATTTTTTTTTATGAAAGTTCTAGGACCTAACAATTTTTCCTTTAATTTAACACCTATCATATCATTCATAGGGAGTACTCCGTACAAAAAACGAGTGAACCGAAACAGAGTTGAATTCTGCACCAGCTTCGTCAGCAACTTAGCAAGTTTTGCTCCAAAGTAAATTTACAATTTATGTTTCAGAATTTTCCGCTTTGCTCTGATTTCAACTGACGCTCCAGAGTTAATTTCTCATCAGTTTCTTCAAATTCTGCTTAAGTTCTTGGCCACATTTTGCCGGCACAAATTCAAACTCTCATTGCGTTTGGATGTTCCATTCTGTCGTCGTTATCAACTCTCCTTTCAGTAAGTCCTGGTCTCAGATTCATTAAGCCTTCCTTACTTCATACACTTGCATTGCTGAGAATTTTTCGTCGATGTTCTGAAAATAATCTGCATTACAAGTCGCTTTCTGTAGACGAAGCATTGCATGTTGTCTCTGAATTGGATTTTCGGAGAATTATGATGTGTGTTTCGCTAGCCTTAGTAATTGCTTTATTATCGCGCTGATGACTTTTTGGTAAATATACTTGCTAGCGTTGACAAGTGAAACTGCAAGTATGCAAGCCTCAGCATTTACAGTCAAAGGAGACGCTAGATTTGGACGTCAGATTCGCTATCGGGGTTTAGAAGGATCCAAAACCTTCAACGGCGGGAGGGTTTTAGCCCGTAGCAACCTCCACATGACAGGGAGGACTAGTTGTTTTGGCGTCAAGCTCGACTCTGCTTCCATGGGAATCGAGCTAGGCAGGGCTCGTGTGAGGGTACAGAGTGTCTTCGGAGCATCCGCCAAGCACCGGACGATCAGTGCTCACGCAGCTGGTTTGTGATTGAACTCTATTGTAAATTGATTTGCTGCAAATAATAAATGGTGAAATTATGCACATCCATTTATTACTATGACCAATTTTTATTGTCTGGAGGCCATTCGCTTAACTACCA